TAACATTCACACGTCACAAATGCCAGCAATGACCATCTCCAGTCAGAGACAATGTAATCATCTCTCCTTGACCTTCAATGGCAGTCCCATCACTGAATCCCTCACAATCAATATCCTGGTGGTTACTATTAAACAGAAACAGTACTCGGTTAGACATATAAATATGGTGGCTACAAGAGCAAGTCAGAGGCTAGGAATACTGCAGAAAGTAACTCAACTCCTGACTCCCCAAAGCCTATCCACTATCCATGAGGCACAAGTCAAAAATTTGGCAGAATACACCCACTTACCCAGTTCCATTAATACTCAAGAATCTTGACACCATCAGGGCAAAGGAGCCCACTTGACTGGCATCACATCCTCAAACATTCAGTCACCCCACCGACGCTCAGTAGCAGCAGTGTGTACTATCTTCAAGATGCACTGCAGGAATTCGCCAACGATCCTTAGACCACATCTCCCAAACCCACACCTCCATTTAGAAGGACAAAGGCAGCAGATATGTGGGAAGCACCTGTAAATTCTGCTCCAAATCACTCGCTGTCCTGATTTGTAAATCTATCGTTGTTCCTTCACTGTCGCTGGGTCAAAATCCTAGAATTCTTTCTCTAACAGCATTGTGGGTCTACCTACACCAAATGGAATGGAGTGGTTCCAAAAGGCAGCTCATCATTACCTTCTCAATGACAACTAATGGCAGGTAATAAATGCTGGCCAACTCAGTGACATCCATATCCCACAAATGAATCAATTTTTATGAAGAAAGAAGATTGTGGACCTATCATTCTGCAAGGTACTCCTTCAGTTTACCCTAGAATCTCTAATATTTCCAGGGATGTGGCATGCTTTTTTTTTTGAGATGAATCCAGTTTGGATTATTAATGTCATCAGAACTTAGCAATGTATCCATGGGAAATAATGCACTTTTATCTAAGTGGTTATTTGACAGTTTAATTTGATTCATGAACAATATGAGCTGCATTTTGCTCCACTTTTCACAGGCATTGAGAAAGTCAAGGCTCTGAAGCATCATGTAGAAATGATATTGTGCTCAGTTCTACTGCTTTATATGGATGTACTCTGACCAGATCCATTGGGGACATGAGTGTTGATCTTCAATATAAAATTGCTCCATGCAGCTAGGAATGTAAGTTCATGGAAGGCAGAAGGACAGTAATAATTTATACAACTGGTTGTATTCCATGCTGATAGCATTCTTTAAATAAGGAATCAACTTATTCAAATTTCATATTTTGTAATTAAAAATGTGAATTTTTTTTATGGCTATCTGTGTGAAAAACAGAAAGGCAGAATATTATTTAACTGGTGATACATTGGGAAATATAGATATACAAAGGGAGCTGGGTGTTCTTATACTCTCTCAATGGAACAAAACAGGCAGGTGCAACAAGGAATTAGGAAGACAAATGTTAATGTTGGCCTTCATTGCAAGATGATTTGAGTTCAGAAATAGGGATGTCTTACTGCAGGGCCCTGGTGAGATCACACCTGGAGTATTGTGTGCAGGTTTGGTCTCCCAACCTAGAAGAGGATACACATGCCACAGAGAATATGCAGAAGAAATTCACTGGGCTGATAGAACAAATGGCAGGTTTATTTTATTATTCATTTATGGAATATAAGCATCACAGCATTTATTGGCCAACCCTAGCTGCCCTTGAAGAGGTGCAGTTGAGCTGCGTTCTTGAACTGCTGCAGCCCACATACTGTAAGTTGACCCAAAATACCATTAGGGAGGGAATTTCAGGATTTTGACCCTGTGACAGTGAAGGGACAGCAATATATTTCCAAGTCAGGATGGTGAGTGACTTGGAGGGGATATTGCAGAAGACATGTTCCCAAGTATCTGATGTCCTTGTCCTTTTAGATGGAAGTGGCCATGGGTCTGGAAGGTGCTGTTTAAGGATCTACTGTGAATTTCTGTGGATAATACACACTGTTGCTACTGACTGTTGGTGGTGAAGGGAGTCAGTGTTTGTGGATGTGATGCCAATTAAGTCGGCTGCTTTGACATGGGTGGTATCAAGATTGCTGTGTGCTGCTGAAGCTACACCCATCCAGGCAAGTGTGAGTATTCCATCACACTCCCGACTTGTGGCTCGTAAATAATGGACAGGCTTTGGGAAGTCAGCAGATGCATTATTTACTGTAGGATCCCAAGCCTCTGACCTGATATTGTAGCCACTGTGTTTATGTGGTGATTTCAGTTGAATATTTTGAATATATCAATAGTAACCCCAGGATGTTGATACTGGGGGATTCAGTGACAGTACTACTATTGAATGTCAAGGGGTGGTGGTTAGATTGCGTCTTGTTGGAGATAATCATTGCCTGGCATTTGTGTAGCATGAATGTTACTTGCCACTTGTTAGCCCAAGCCCAGCTATTGTCCTGGTTTTGTTGCGTTTGAGCATGGCCCACTTCAGTATCTGAGGAGTCTCAAATGATGCTGAACGTTGCGCAATCATTGGCGAACATCCCCACTTCTGACCTTATGACGGAGAGAAAGTCATGATGAAGCCGCTGAAGATAGTTGGGCTAGGACACTTGCCTGACAAACTCATTTGAGGAAAGATTAGTTGGACTGGCCCTGTATTCACTAGAGTTTAGAAGAATGAGAGGCAGTCTTAGTGAAACATTTTAAATTCTAACAGAGGTAAACAGACTAGATGCAGGGAGGATGTTTCTCCTGGTTGGGTCATCTAGAATCAGAGGTCACAGTTTCAGGATGTGGGGTGGATCATTTCGAATGAGATAAGGAAACACTTCTTCATTCAGGGTGGTCAACCTGTGGAATTCAAATCTGCAAAAAGTTGTGGAGACTGGATAACTGATTATATTCAAGAAAGATATTCATGCATTTTTAGATACTAAAGTCATCTAGGGGTATGAAGGGAAAATGAGAATAAAGCATTGAGACAGAAGATCAGCCAAGATCATGGTGAATGCCTGAGCGCACTCAAAGGCCAAATGATCTATTCCTGCTCTTAATTTCTACATTTCTATAAACCATTAAAGTTCTTATCAAAAATAATGTTGAGCTGTACCAGATGAGACATATGAACATATGAATTAGGAGCAGAACAAACAATTCAAGCAGTTAGAATGCGGGTATGGTACATAATCACAAAGCTAATAGATGTTATCCTTTATATTAAAAGGGATTGAACATAATAGTAAAGATGTTATTCTGTAATTATACAGGGCATCTCAATCCTACTCTGCCATTCAGTAGGATCATGGCTAATCTGTTGGTGTTTCAAATTCCACATTCCCATCTACATCCAGTAACCCTTAATTCCCCTTGCGAACAAGAACTTATCCAGCCCTTTCTTATAATTATTTAATGACCCACCTCTACTGCCTTCTGAAGCAGAGTTCAAAATCTCACAACCATCTGCAAGAGAATTTCTTTCCCCATCTCTGTCTTGAAAGAGTGACTCCTAATCTTAAAACAGTGCCCTCTAGTTCTGGACTGGCCCACAAGGAGAAATATCCTTTTCACGTAAATGTCGTTAAGACCATTCACGATCTTATATACTTCAATCAAGCCACCCTTGCTCCACTAAACTTCAATAGAAACAAGCCCAGTGCGTCCAATCTATCCCCCTAAGACAACCTGCTCATTCCCAGTATTAACCTAGTATGCATCCTCTAAACTGCCTCTAATGCGTTACGTAATTTGTTTCAAAAGGAAACCAAAACTGCACAAGGTATTTGAGATATAGTCTCACCAATGCCTTGTCTAACTGCTGCATGATATCTTTACTTTATACTTTCATTCCCTTTCATATAAAGGATAACAAATATTAGCTGCCTTGATTATGTACTGTACCTGCATACCCTACTGCAAAAGAAACCAACTTCACATTTTCCCACATTACGCTCAATATGCCAAATTTTTGCCAAATCACTTAATCTATCTACATCTGTCTTTAATTTCCTTATGTCTTTGTCACAACATACTTTCCTACCTATCTATGCCAACTGTGAATGTAGCTACCACGCTCTTACTCACCTCATCTAATTAATTGTAAAAGGTTGAGGCATTTGCACAGACCCTGTGGGACCACACTAACCACATCCTGCCAATCAGACAAAGATCCAATAATGCATGTCCTGTGTTTACTGACAGCCTGTCAATTTTCTATCTATGCTGCTTATATGTTACCTCCTACACCATGAGCATTTATTTTTTGTAATAACTTTTTGATGTAGCACCTTATCAAATTCCTTCTGGAAATCCAAGTATACAGTGTATACAGACTTCCCTTTATGCACAGCTCTTTCATAGAACTCCAACTAATTGATTCAACATGATTTCTCCTTGACAAAACCATGCTAGTTCTTTGCAATTACCTTTCTAAGTGCATAGCTATAATCTCCTTAATGTTTGATTCTAATACCTTCCCCGCTAAAGATGTCAAACTAACTGGCCTATAGTTTCATGTTAATGCCAAAGTATTTACTAATTCATGAGTAACATCTTTTTAGGACTTTAGATTGTGTTAAGCAAGTTGGACCTCTGAATCAATACACTATGCTTAACTGAGAGTTTGGATGGCTTAACTTGAATGAGGCTGATTACAAATATATGACTAGTATGACAGTAATAAACAGTAAATTTAACATAAATCAGTATTAATTTTCTGTTTTGTATTAAGCTTAAATAATGCTGCTCTTAATATTTTGTTTAACTGTGTGGGATTTCTGTCCTGTGGCAAGTTACTAGTTTATTTCTTTCCCACTGCTCACAGCTTTCTCCCTTACACTTTTGTTGCCACCGAGATATGCTGGAAAGCCTGCCAAAGGTGCCAGCTGATCTCTGGCACTTTGCTAATAACTGAAACATGACAGTCAGTGTTGGCAAAGTATTTGGGTGACATTGGAAATGTGTCTAATCCTGCCCTTTGCTGATCCCCGTACATAGGGGCTTCTTGTGGCAATTATGTTTTGTGACAAATACTTTTCTTTTTCAGAATTATTGAAGATGATTTGGTCGGACGCCGGTTTTGGTGATCTGGTGCCACAATGAAGACATACACACATGGAGTACCAGTCGTATTTTTCATACATCTGTTCTGCTCCCTATTAGCGTACACTGTAAATGAAAAATCTGGTGGTAGCATCCACTTTATGAATGGAAATTATGATGGTCATCCCATGCTGTACTTCAGTAAAAGTGATGTGGAGGATCTGCGACTCAAGGCGAGAAGTACCCACCAGAATATTGCGAACAGGATTTGGAATGCAGGGCAAATCATGCTATCAAGTCCAAGGGAGTACCTGCCTCCCTGGGATCCTAAACATTTTAGTGCCCGCTGGAATGAAATCTATGGCAACAATCTGGGAGTACTGGCTATGTTCTGTGTACTGTTTCCTGAAAGAACAGATGCAGTGGAGTTTGCAATGGACTACATGGAGAGGATGGCATCTCAGCCTAGTTGGTAGATTTTTGTCTTGTTTTTCTAAAGCACGTGTTTCTGTCTTTGGGAGGTTCCTTATTGTTATGTTTTTGTTTATGCATTTACATGTAAAACACAGCTTTAGTAGCATTTAATCTGCTGGTGCAGTGCGCCCTTAGAACTTTTATTTCCTGCATTGCATATATGCAGGGACAAAAAAGTCAGTATTGTCAAAATGGGGAGTACCTTTGAATTGATGTCTACTTATTCTTTATTCACGTATTTAAAATTTTCTTTAATTCTGAATTACTACAGATTATTCATTAACTGGGTAGAAAGGAAGATGGAATAGATCACATTATCATATCCGTGACTTCGTAGGATTGTCAAATCTCCTGGATTGTTCTGAAACCACCAAGTATTAATTCTAGGGGCATTAGAAGTTTTTTTTTATTTGCATTTATCTCTTCTGTGAATTAGTTGTAAAAATATTTGAGAAGAGAGAATTGGTTGACTATTGAGCAAAGCATTAACCAATTGGGTAATGAAATGTTGGCTTTTTTACAATTGATATGGGAAGCTGGTGTTTCAAGTAATGTGTTTAATGTTGTCACAAACTAAAATGAACGCAGATAGAGCAGAGGAAGAAGTCCATGACTAAAGCATGCCAGCTTGTTTACCACCTACAAATGCATTTCTCCAGAAATTCCTCTTTTCGTAAAAATATTGCACATAGAACCATTTGCATTTACAAGTTACCCAATATACATGGTCAGCAAAGAAAATTATCATTCATTCATAAGACTGTGTTAATTATAGTATGTACCATTTTATTCAGGACTTTTAATGACAGGCAGACAAATGTTATTATCAGTTTATTTAATATTTTGACATTTTTTTTACATGGTGGGTTCTTGATCAGAGCAAGGTATTCATCTTTCAGTTTCATTGTCTCTGGTTTAATGACTTCCAGACCTGGTTGAGTTGTTAGTGCAAGTTATTTTTTGTTTCAGGTGAAAGCTGTTTCATGTTCTGCAGTACCAACACATTCTTAACAGTGAACTTGCATAGAAATGCACATGCCGATGACCAATCAGATGTGGTGTTGTCACTGGAGTAATAATCCAGAACCCCAAGTTAATTTTCTGAGGAAATGGGTTTGAATCCCACCATGGCAGATGGTGAAATTTGAATTCAATAAAAATATGGAATCTAAAACTAGTCTAATGTTGATCAAGTAGCCACTGTCAGTTGTTATAAAAATGCATCTGGTTCACTAATGTCCTGTAGAGAAGGAAATTTCTCATCCTGTTCTGGGCTACAAGGTTGACTCTTAGCTGCTCTCTGGGCAATTACAAATGGGTAATAAAACATCCCATGAATGAATAAGAAAAACAAGGACATTGTTCAATAGGTATGGTTAATAAGTTTGCAGATGACACCAAAATTGGAAGTGTAGTGGACAGCAAAGAACATTACCTCTGAGTACAATAGGATCTTGATCAGATGGGCAGAGGAGGGGCAGATGGAGTTTAATTTAGATAAGTGTGAGGTGCTGCATTTTGGAAAGGCGAATCAGGGCAGGATTTAATGGTAAGGTCCTGGGGAGTGTTGCTGAAGAAAGAAACCTTGGAGTGCAGGTTCATGGTTTCTTGAAAGTGGAGTTGCAGGTAAATAGGATAGTGAAGAAGGCATTTGGTATGCTTGCCTTTATTGGTCAGTGCATTGAGTATTGGGGTTGGGAGGTCACGTTGGGCTGTCCAGGACATTGGTTTGGCCACGTTTGGAGTATTGCGTGCAATTCTGGTCTCCCTCCTATAGGAAGGATGTTATGAAACTAGAAAGAGTTCAGAAAAGATTTACGGATGTTGCCGAGGTTGGAGGGTTTGTGCTATAGGGAGAGGCTGGAGAGGCTGAATAGGCTGGGGCTATTTTCCCTGGAGTGTCAGAAGCTGAGGGGTGACCTTATAGAGGTTTAGAAAATCTTGAGGGGCATGGATAGGGTAAATAGGCTCAATGTCTTTTCCTCTTGGTGGGGGAATCCAAAACTAGAGGGTATAGGTTTAAACTGAGAGGAGAAAGATCTAAAAAGGACCTAAGGGGCAACTATTTCATGCGGAGGATGGTGCTCATATGGAATTAGCTTGTTGAGGACGTGGTGGAGGCTGGTACAATTACAACATTTAAAAGGCATCTGGATGGGTATGTGAATAGGAAGGGTTTAAGAGTTATACGGGCCAAATGCTGGCAAATGGGACTAGATTTAAATAGGATATCTGTTCGGCATGGACAAGTTGGACCGAAGGGTCTGTTTCCGTGCTGTATGTCTCTATGACTCTTTGACTCTAATTTATGAGACCAATAAATCATTTCATCCTTTCATATCTGTTAGTTGCTGCACCTCTGCTACATCTCCTGCCATGCAGGATCCATGCAAAATTCCTTTTGCTGTCAGAAGATGGCTTAAGTATTTGATTTCAAGCATGCGGAGGCAATGGCCTAGTGGCCTTCTTGCTAGACTGTTAATCCAGAGACACAGAAAACGTTCTGAGGACCTAGGTTCGAATCTGGCCAAGACAGATGGTGGAATTTGAATTTAATTTAAAAAATCTGGAATTAAAAATCTACTGATGACCCATGAATCCAGTGTCGATTGTCAGAAAAACCCACCTGGTTCACTAATGTCCTTACCTGGTCTGGCCTACATGTGATTCCAGACCCACAGCAATGTGGAAGACACTGAACTGCCCTCTGGGCAATTAGGGATGGGCAATGAATGCTGCCTAGCCAGTGACACCCTCATCCCGTGAACGAATAAAGAAAAAAAAAAGTCCTGAATTGTATCTTTTTGTCATTCAGCTGGTGAACTCTGTCGAGCAGTTGCAATGGATTCTGATAGTAGTCTATGATGATTTCTTTCATTGTGTCTCCGTAGCCATATACAAGCATGTCATCCAGGATAGGTTCCACTCTGGGAAGATCACTGACTATTTCAGGCTATCTACGTAGATAGAGCAATGTGAAAATCAAATTGCATGTGCAACCTTCTGTGTCTCCCAACTGACATCCAGACTATTGTTAGAAAACTGCAACTTTCATCCAGCTTCACTTGCCAGTAACCATCCTTCATGTTGATGGTAGTCAAGACCTCTACCTTGGCAGGTTTGTGGCAAAGTCCAAAATCATGCAGGTTAGGTGGATTGGCCATGCTAAATTGCCCGTAGTATTCAGGGATGTGTTGATTAGGTGGGGCTGGGTGGGATGCTGTAAGGGTCAGTGTGGACTTGTTGGGCCGAAGGGCCTGTTTCCACTCCGTAGGGATTCTGTGATCTGTGAAACTTTACTACAATGGTTGGCATGGGGTAATAAGATCTCTTCAAAGCTTTATTGAGATCCTTTGAATCTATGCGTGCTCTCAGTTTTCCACGTTGCTTCACTGTTACTGTTCTGTTAAACCAATCTGGAGGAGTTGTCACTTTTTAGAGTAAGTGGAACAAAAGGTACTAGTCAACCTTGTTTAGGCTGAACTTGCTGCTGGCTGGAACTCTCCTCGGGAGATATTGAGTTTCACAATCTGATCCACTGTGAAATTCACCAGGAAGGCATCCAAGAACAGTAAAAACATCTTTGCAATCTTTTAAGATCTTTTCTGCAGTCAAGTACTTAGTGAACTGCAAAGTTATGCAGAGATAACAAGGTGTAGAGCTGGATGAACACAGCAGGCCAAGCAGCATCA